TTTTGTTTACATTTTACAATCTGAAAACTTTTATTTTCTTATAAAACTGCAAAGGGGTTCCACAGAGGAGCGGCCACCTGTAACAGGAAGTAGGCGTTACCTGATTTTCCTCTTCTCTGCTGCACATTTCCACCGTGTTTCCTTCCAGTTAACGGCCTTAAAAAGCACAAAACATTTAAAAATTCTCAAGGACGTTTTTAATTTTTTACAATCATTTTTGTTCGCTTTCCAGTGTCGTGAGCGCATAAAAAATAAATATACATTATGTTACAAATCATTTCCAGTGTCTCGGATCGTACAAAATCAAGGACGTTCATCGACAGCATCGGTAAAAAGAAGGTGAAACACACGAGGGGGTCCAGAGTACATAAAGTACATAAAACATTTAAAGTGGAAAACTACTCCACATTAAAATTAGCCTAATTTTAGCAGCATGATACTTTAGAGTTGGTGCCATTTGGACTAGTTTCAATTCAGAATCTTTTTGAAAGTACTGGGTATCATTTATTAAATGCTAACAATAAAACAGACATCACTTTGATCAGGAACAACCAAAAAAATTAGGGATGCACAATATTATCAGCATGGTATCGGTATCGGCTGATATTAGCGATAAAGTGAAATATCGGATATCGGCCATTCCATCAAAAAAACTCACCAACATAAAAGGCGCTGGTTTTATACGTCACGCATGCTGTTGAGTTTAGATTTGTGAAAATTTACAAATTTGCATTGTTCAAGTGTTGTCATTGTGTTAGAGAGAGTAAATGTCATGAATAAATTTGATATTAAACATAATCCAAGTTGAAGTGTTACATTATTTTCAGCCCCTTTTTGGCATCTGCATTTGGTAGCAGGCCTTATTGACAACGATCATCCAGAATAATGTCGTAGTTTAACTCCACAGCAGAGAAAGCAATGTAGTCTCTGTAAGTAGGTCTAGGGGGAAAAATATCGGTATTGGTATCGGTTATTGGCCAAATAAGGTTCAACATATCGGCCAAAAATCCAATATCGTGCATCCCTAAAAAAAAATTTTTAAACAAGTTTTGAAGTAAATGGACTTGAAACGAGCCGAACACAACCCTGACAGGTTCAGTTTCAGGAAGGAACAGTGTCTTTTTTATTTTGTTTACTGGACAAACAAGCAGGACGGACACTGGGAAAAAAAAAAAAGACAGGCTTCACGTTGCCGAGTTATAAAACATTCCAGAAAGTCAGCGAGATAGTTTGAACGTTTTAAGGTGGAATGCTTATTAACGATGAATATCTTACCTGCTGCAGATAGGTCTCTGAATGAGCTCGGTTTGGTGAGAAAGGGGTTAAAACCTGACGGGAGTGACGAGCTAACAGTCCGAAAGCAGCCGAGACCAAACTGGATCGCAGCCATTTGCGGCCTCGATTTCCAAATGTATCATATGGATTGACACAAACACAGTTTGAACAATCCAGAAGGGCTAAAGCTAGCTGCTGCTGCTCTCTGAGCTTTCAAATTACCACACAATTCTGTGTAAAGCACAACTGAAAGTGAAGTAAACAATTAAAAAACTAGCCTTTGCACGATGCACAGTGACATTTTTACTTTTAAAATATTATTTTTACCAGTTTTTCTCCACGCTGCTAGCATGCGCTGCGTAGGTCAGTCGAGTTTCAAACGATTACAGCGGATAAATCGGTTGTGGCTTCGACAGCGTTTTGAAGAAGATGAATTAAATATTTAAAGGTGGACAGGGTCTAAGGTACTGAAGTGATGTTTTCCGGTGAATAAATAGTCGAGGAAACTTTTAGGTCTGACAACGCTGTGCCAGTGTTGTGTTACGTTTCGTCCCCCGTCGAGTTCTGATTCTCCACCAGCTTCGTTACGTTTTCCTCTTTACTGCATCCCTGTGGCTTTTAGGCTAGAATAGTAAAAGGAAAGATCCTGGCTTCTTGTCCTCGTTTTTTTTTTTTTTGTTGTTGTTGTTGTAGAAAGAAAGCACAACCCTGTGGTTAGGAATCCACTTTTAGGAGGGGGAACAAATCTAACCACAACACCTGCGTGTGTCAAAGTGCTGCTTTACTGTGTTTAATTGACTTCTTCCTGTTTTTAACACATTAAATTGTGTAGATAATGAAACTTATGAGATAAAATTAATCAAACTAAATCATATATATGGTGTACGAGGATAAGTTAAAACATTTGGCTTTATTACGACTCATTTATTACATGTTAAATGATTGTCTTTTCTTTTAGAGGTTATTATTAAATGTTATTAAACTCCTGCAAAAACAGGATGTCCCACCACAGCTTGCTGCAGTTCTTATTAAGACTATTTTTACAACCGGCTGCTCGCTTCAGCTTTTTATTTTTAAATATAATGTATAAATAAGATATAAATAGGAGCCTCGTTAGACTTTGTTGGCATGCTGGAGTTGGCATATTAAATGTTTTGAGCTTTAATTTTTAAAGCCTTTGCTTACACTTTCACTTTTTACTAAATTATAATAATTTATTATCATTTTTTTGAGGGAACAAAGTCATTTACATTAATTAATTAATCAAAAAATGAGTTGATAGTTTAATTAAATATTAATTAAAGCCCTTGAAATTGAAATAAACTTCATTTTTAAGACAGCAGCCATCCAGTTTGGTCTTGGCTATATTTCAACTAGTTGTTAGCTCTTGAGTTGGGTCAGAAATAAACTATTTTCTTAAACTTAGAAGCTGTTTACATAAACTTTCCATAGACCCCTACTTTAAAACGTTCAAACTATCTCTTTAATGTAAATTTAGGCCCTTTCGTTGAGACATAATGGAGTTTTAAAGTATTAAAACTTGTGTATGAGAGTAAGGCCTCAGTTCAGAATGAAGGCTTTTGTTCTGTATGAAACCAGAACAAAACGGGATTTTTCATTACAGCTCAGTTAAAAAAAAAAAGATATAAATCAAATACAAAATAGATTCTTTAACTTTAAAAAAATATATGTACACAATAATTACACTGAGAGGCTGGGAAAGAGTTGAAAAACAAAACACACAAAAAAAAAAAAAAATCCAAAACAAAGAGCACTTGGTGTTTAGGTCATCAGAAGTCACTGAGAAGAGCATGAAGGGATTGTAGTCCTTGAAATCCTTATGGACTACAAATGCAACTGTACCAGCAGGCGAGTGCGTCATCTTTCCATTTCTGTTAGAAAGAAGCTGCCCAAACGTTTCGTCCACGAAACTCCACAAGATGAACCCCTGCAGGCTCCTCGAAACCCGCGGAGACGTTCTTCCTATTCTTTGTTTGTTTTGAGCGGTTTTGGCACACGTGGCTCCAGATTCAGTCCGACGCAGGATTCCCTTTGTTATCGCTCGCGGCTTTTTACTTGTCCCGGGCAGAGCCAACGTCTGCCGTTAATACTGCTCTCCAGAGAGAGAGGAAGGATGACGTCAAAATGTTCAGCATCCACCTCCTTCCTGTTCGTCCTCTTCCCGGCCGTCTTCCTTTCCCGTCCTCCTGCGGCAGAGCTCCTCCTCTCAGAGCGGCGGGCTGGTCTGGGTTTTCCTAACAGGTCAGATCGAAGTCTCGTTACTGGCGCTGTTAGAGGAAAAGGTAATTGTGGGAGGGGGGTGTTAGGGACGAGGGAAAAGTGCAAGGAGACAAAGAGGAAGAACGGGAACATGCGAGGTAAAAATGGATGCAGGAAGGTCACATGCAGCTTTCAGGCAAGAATGATTATTTCATGCTGCGGTTAAATCAAACATTTCTTCAGTTTCATGCCGGCGTCTTCGTCAAACTACGCTAATGGTATGATGAGCCATCTCGTGTCTCTGTTAGCTCTTAGGTGGGCAACCTTTTGATTCCAGTTATTTAGTTATAAGAGCCGCAGAGCGATTCGGAAAATATTTTCTTTAAGACGGATAATCTGGAAGACATTTACAGGCAACACGTTAGCTTAAAAGCAGTGGTTCCCAACACTGGTCCTTGAGGAACACCATCCTGCATGTTTTAGTTGTTTCCTGTTCCAACACACCTGATTCAGCGATTTAATTACGTCCTCATGTTCTGTAGTAGCCTGTTCATCACACATTCATTCAAATCAGGTGAGTCAAAGCAGGAAAACAATTAAAACATGCAGGATGGTGTTCCTCAAGGAGCAGGGTTGGGAACCACTGCTTTTAAACTAACATGTTGCCTGTATATGTCTTCAGGCAATTACTGAAATGTAATTTTGTTGCGCTTAGGTGCAATGACAATAAAGCCGATTCTGTCCCTCAAGGACCAGGGTTGGGAACCTCTGGCTTAAAGTATGACAAGAAAACGTTTCCTTGTGGGAGTCTTTAGGGTTCCGTCTAATTCTGGAAACACAAACAATAACGTACAAGGCAAAACTAACGTTTTAGCCCATCTCAGTGTAAAAGTTTTACACGTATTTGTCTGAAACATTTAATTTAGACTTAATAAAGTTTTATTGATAACATTAAAGTTTTCATGAACTTATTTTAACGTTTCCTTCTTTTCAGTTAAGCATATCGGGGGCCAGATGGGGCTCGTCCAAGAGCCACTGTTGGCCCCCGGGCCATATGTTTCCCAGGCATGTCTTAAAAGGAGGGGTTGAGAATAATTCAGTTACTACATCAACATTTAGCTCGAAGTCTCTAAAACTGACTTGAGTTAATGCCGTTTCTGTGTTTGCTAATGTCCGTTAGCTGTAGGAGCCATCTTGAATCAGGTTGACTCAGTTGAGATGAACATCCTTTAATTGATTTCAGGGCGTTTAACTGCATGACTTTTAGCGGCGGGCGAAAAACAGCAAATTCAATCCAAGCATCGTTCGTTCGTTTAATCAACGATTCACAGATTTGATCTTGTGCTGCGACATGCCGATATTCTTACTCTGAGTCGGACTCGTTGCCCCCGTTGACCGTCCCAGACTTCAAGTGCATGGCCACGCCCCCGTTGGTCTCCCGGTAGATCCCCGCCGGCGGCGCCCCGACAGGAACCTGAGGCCGGGGAGCAACAGGCGGCTTCAACTTAATGCTGCTGTCGTGGTTGCCGGGGCGACCGCCTCCTCCTCCCCTGTCGTCGATGGAGGCCTGAGAGGACGGCTGCGATGAAGGGGTCGTGATGCTGACGTAGGAGGGAGACACGGGGGAGGCGTTGTGGTTGTTGTTAATGGGCGGAGGGGAGGTGATTTTGGGGGAGTTGTAGTCGCTCAGCTTCTCCCTCAGACGGTTCTTCATGTTCTTGTCATTGAGCGGGGGAGGGTAGCTGATCTTGTTTTTCAAGATACCTGATCAGAAAGATGATTTAGTGTTGAAGCAGTTCAACAAAAAACTATTAATTAATTAATTAGTTAATTAATTAACCCCCCCCCCCCCCCCATTATTTTACCTTTCCTCTGCTCTGGCTGGTGGTTGGTGTTGGGTTGACTCGGCGGTGCCGTGTCTTTAGGCGCCTGCTGCTCCCTCTCTTCTTTAGGCGCCTCCCTCTCTCGCTCATCGGTGTAGTTGAGTTTATTTTCGAGGTGCAGCTCCACGTTCACCTTGGTCTCCACCCTCAGCCTCTCCATCCCGCCCAGGTCCTCGCTGTCACTGGCTGTGGTGGCATCTACTGGCCAGTAAGGCTTCACGTGATTGGACTCACCTAGAACAAAACACCAAAATTAGGTCTTTTTTTTTTTTATTTCTGCTTTTAAATTCAGACCAGATCAGTGGGTTTTGGACCTGGACATCTTAGGAACAAACTTTGTCCAAAATTCTGCTGCCAGAGTTCTGATGAGAGTTGGTTAGAGCTCCATGAGCTCCCTGGTAAATTCAGAATTTGAATTCCTTCTAATGTGTAAAGCTCCCACTTGTCTTAAAGAGCACATCGCTCTCAGACTGCAGGTTTACTTGTGGTTCCTGGAGTTTCCAAAAGTAGAACGGGAGGCAGAGCTTTAAGATCTCAAGCTCCTCTCTTGTGGAACCAACGTCCAGGTTCTGTCCGTGAGGTTGACACCTTGTCTACTTTAAAGACTAGGCTTAAGATAAATCCTATAGTTAGGGTTGCCTTGGGTTGGCTATCCCATAGTTCTGCTGCTATAGGTTTAGACTGCTAGAGAAAAAACTGACCACATTTCCTCACTTTGCTGCTGTCCTTACTCCATCTACTCATGTTTGTATTTGTGATTATTGCTACCGTTAACTTGTGCTTTTCTTTAGTTTTCTCCCCATAGGAACTACAGCCGGACCAATAATTCGGTTTGTCGTCGTCTCTTTCATGTCCTCCCAAACCCCAGATGGCTGCTCACCCTGAGCCTGGTCCTGCTGGAGGTTTCTTCTTATTAAAAGGGAGTTGTTTCTTTCCACTGCCACCAACATGCTGCTCAGGATGGAGCGTCGAATCAAGTGAAGGTTCAACACAAACTGATGCCTTCTCTAAACTATTAATAACCAGCATTTCCTAATGTACCGTACGCGATTTTATGGAATAATAATTGGAACGAACTGGATTTGAACCTGGACCTTTATTAGATTTATGCTTCTTTTCTTTTATTTAGGGACCTGAGATCATTTTTGTTGTGAATAAATCAACTAAATTGATCTCAAATCATGGTTAAGCCGGTCACGATAACAAATGTTGCTGGGCGATTAATTGTCTCAGAAATTATTGCGATAAATGATATATTGTTTGAAATTTGACAATAATTAGTCATTATTGCCCAATTTAATTAAAAAGAATTGTTTTGTTTTATGTGTAGTACCTTTTTTGACCACTGGATGGCAGTATAAGACTATTTGAACCGAAGGATGGATAGTGAGGGAGCAGCAGCGTGTCTCTTTAAGAAAAATGGGAGGGTGGCCATGTCTCTCCTTCCTTTTTTCGGTTCTCAAAATGGCGGACGCTCGGTGTGGTTTGAGCTCTTTAGCATAGCATTTTTCACACAAACCTTTTAACAAAAAAATCAGTAAACAAGTTCTCAGCTTTTTTTTTTGTAGAGAAAAACACATTTTTACACAAAGGCACGAGTTTCAACCGTGGATTTTGAAGCTTTGACAAGACGGAGGTTTTTTCCACGAGGTCGGCCTGTTAGCTTAGCTCGTAGCTTAGCTGCTTTTAACGATCCAAAAACACGATTTTGGTTAAAACGGATTTTAAAGAGAAAGGCAGGGGTCAGTGAAGAGCACCGGAGTTGAGCCTTTTGTCGTCCAGTGTCTTCACTAGAAAGAGAGACACGAAGAAACGATAAAGCCGATAAATGAAAATTAGGTCCATAATTTTAATTTATCATGCGATTAATTGATTTATTGTGTATCGTGACAGGCCTAATCATGGTTTCTGTTTTAGACTAGCTCGCCAACATGTACCTTTTGGGGTGCTGTGAACGGGCCTCTCATTGTTCCATTTTTGCTTGACATCCAAGTCATCGTCCTCGCTGTCGGAGGAGTGGGAGGAGGCATAGGAGGAGCTGTGGTCATCAACAGAAAGCTCACTGTCTGAGTCAGAGTCTGACAAAAACACAGAAAAGGGGGCGGGGTTAAACAATGACGAACCCCTGCAGATAAAACATCATCTGTGTGCAAACAAGAGCACCACATTCGGAACATTGTACGCCCATCGACAATTACACAGCAATCATTTGTGACCTTGAACTTGCAGTCAAGGTGAAGAAAAGTTTTGTGACCCTTTATCCAGTGATGACGCACAAGTGTATGAAGTTTTGGTGAAATATCTTGGCGGATCAGAAGTTATGGGCCAGAGTAGAGAAAGTTTACAGACGTACTATACCACCATGCTTTTGACGGTGGTATAAAAACTCACCGTCTCCTTTGGGGCCGTTTTTGTGGAAAAGAGGACCGTCCAGATCCGTGTGTCCTTTAGCTGTTCCTGACGAGACGCTGGGCTTCTGACCAGACTCCTCCCTGGAGTTACAGTTAGGAAAGGCAGAGGAGGCCGAGGCAGGAGATGAACGGGAGGAGACAGCAGACATGGGGAGGTTTTCAGAGGACACAGAGAGGGGAAGTACAGCGTTATGGGAAGTTCATTCAAGCCTCAGCACGTCGTTATCGACAGCTACTGTTCAACACCAGTAAACATCTGCTCCTGTTCGCTTTGACAAAGATAATTAGACAATGTGGTTAAAACGATCCACACAAAGAAACATGAACCCTGACAGACTGGGGGGTAGGTTATTGTTGAACCCAAACTTTTAAGAGTCTTTTATGCTCCGCAAAACATTTGAATGAGTCAAAAGTCAAAGTAAGCTTTCAGTTCTTAATTACAAAACAACAGGCCATTTTTTATTAATGCAAACTCCAACATGTCGGATATAAGAGAAGCTTCTGGAAGCAGCTGAGGTTTTTCCAATAGCTGCAGGGGGAAACGTATGCATGCGTTACTTTCTCCTCTCATTTCTGCTCTTTGCTTTTAATTTCCTCTCAGCCGCTTCCGTTTCTCAAACAGCCACAGCTCTTCTCAAAGGTTACGCTCTCAGTGACTCCAATGGACAATTTGACTTTGCAGTTTTTCAAACACAAACTGGTTGTGATAAAAACGTGCCTGCTACATGTTAGGCCCACTCTTCTTTCCAGTGTTGCTTGAATTCATTGAGATTTGTTCTCTGAACGTCTCACCGCAGCATTCCAGTCAAGGTGAGGTCCTGGACTTGGACTGGACAGTAATTTACTTGGACCTGTAATGTTGTAGATTAGCTGCTATGTCTGGGATCATTGTCCTGTTCATCAGTTTGATTTAAGCGTCAGCTATCGATTGTCGACGCAGTGACTGCAGGGAGCCCGAACCATCAACCCTCCACTGTCCTGTGGTTCATTTAGATACAACTTTGCAAACCTAAGTTGTGCTGCCAACTACTTTTTCCGCTGATGATGTTCAGGTATTTAAGTGCATTTGTCCAACAGCACCTGGCTGCCATTTTCCTCTCTTCAGTCCTGTGGACGAGCGGTGTCCAATCCTGGTCCTTGAGGTCCACTATCCTGCATGCTTTACCCGTTTCCCTGCTCCAAGTTCTGTAGAATCCCATTAACCACCAGTTCATTCAAACCAGGAGTGTTGGAGCTAAAACCATCTAAAACACGTATAGGATAGTGGCCCTCGAGGACCGGGAATGGACTTAATTTTTCCACACAGCTCGTTAGGATACAAAGGCTTCATCATATCATGTTTACAAAATGCAGTCAGTTCTTGAGCTCTTGCTGTGCTAACAGAACTAGCATGAGCCAACAAGAGAAACACTCGAGAAGTTGAGCAGTAAATTTTCAGTGCTGTAACACACAGCTACTACAGCTACGCTCACATACCTTTTTATTTATTTTAACACTAAAACATTCAACTAAAGCAGCATTAGAACAAACATTTATGCGTTTGTGTTAGCATAGCGTCTAAACTAATGTGGTACAACACAGTTTACGCAAGTAAAAGTTTCTAATCACGCAGTTTGAAACGGGGGATTTAGGTGAACGTCACCAGTATTTCAACACAACCGGACAATGAGTTCAACATTAGCGAATATATAATAATAATAATAATATATCATTTTATATATATATGGTTGTGTTGTTTGTTTTACCACAAAAAGTGAATTTACAGGTTTCCTTTTCTTTTTGTGTGCATTAAATTTTTGCATCAAGGCCACGAGCCATGCACAGCTGAATTTAAGCAATACAAGGTGCATTTATATAGGAGCATGCAAGCATGGAGAAAAATGTAGAAATCTCTTACAAATATATAAAAAAAATTAAATAAAATAAAAAACGGTGAACAAATTAAAGAAGATATCCCGATGCATGCTCAATAATCCAGGTAGAAAAATCTAAAAAAGTTAAATCTGGTCTTCTGGACATTCAAAAAACAAACAAAGATCTTCATCTACATCTTTGTGAAAATAAATCGTCCATCATTAAACAGGGGTGGAGGTCTCTGTGTTCAACTGTCCCCCTCTTACAATGCTGTTATTGATGCTAATGAGTGCTAATGATCCATTGTTAGGCTGATGGTCCTTCTTGAGCATGTGATCAGCTGGTTTTGGTTGTCAGCAGCAAAACTGGTTGATCCACTCTGAGAAGGTGCTATTTAAGAGACTGAGCTGAATACAGCACCTCAGACTGAGAAAGTCTTTCGGATGAATGACGAAACGTTTCTACTTTTTTTTGTTGTTTTGTTTTTTTTGAATGTCCAGAGGACCAGATTTAACTTTTTTTTTAGAAATTAAAGAAGAAGCTGATATTGTAAGCAGCGGGACATGGTGTGTGCATAATGAGGTCAAACAACATGTGGTGTTAGTATTTGTTAATTTGACGCAAAAACAGAAACAAGGAAATTTGACAGAAAATGTCCACAAGGAGACCCCGTGCATCGGTCTAGTAGAAGCAGCCATGCGGTCAGTGAGCATGCTGTACCTGAAGGTGTAAGCCAGGTAGCTGCTGCGGCTCTTGGCTGACCTGAGCGTACTGTCCAGGGAGATGTTGGACTCGCCGATAGCGGTGCGAAACAGCGGGCCTTCCTCAGGGAACGACTTACAGTTGAGAGAGCGCTGATAGAAAGATAAAAATAAAAGAATGAACTAAAGAGGCAGGAAATAATAATACTTTTAAAAAGCTCACCGGTCTGTGCACTTACAGTGAGCAGCGAGGTCCTGGTGGTGCTGGAGTTGTCCTGAACGGTCGTTTTACCCGTCAAGACATTCTTGAGGTTCTTCCTCACTTCTTTGTTGAAGATCACGTGGAAGAAGAAGACGAAGACTCCCTGTGGAAGAAACACGTCCGGGTTAGAGCCCCAAAACATGATTTAAATTACTCAAGTCAAGACTAGTTTATTTATAAAACACATTTAAAAACAGCAGCTGTTACCAAAGTGCTTAACAATAAAATAAATGGCAGTAATTAAAGAAAAAAAGGATAGCAAAATGTAATTAAAGCATCAAAAGAAAAAAACATAAAAACACAAAACAATAAAATAGTAAATCAAATCACACTGTGTTAAAAGCCAGAGAAAACAGGTGTTTTTAGGAGAGATTTAAAAACAGGAAGTGAAGAGGTCTGTTTAATGATGGGGGGCAGATTGTTCCAGAGTTTAGGGCCCATGACTGAAAAAGCTTGATCTCCTCTGAGCTTCAACCAGGTTTTAGGTACAACCAAAAGCAGCAGGTCAGATGATCTCAGCGCCCGAGAAGGAACATATGGTTGAAATAGATCAGAGGATGCAAGGTCATTAATGCACTTTAAGGTCAATAGGATAATTTTTTAATCTATTCTGTTACGTACAGGGAGCCAGTGAAGGGAGGACAAAACTGGTGAAATATGATCAAACCTACAAGTTCATGTTACGAGCCGAGCTGCAGCATTTTGAACAAGCTGGAGACGAGAAATGGAGACCGGACTGACCCCAAGAAGAAGTGCAGGGTTGTAATGAAGGCATGGACTAATTTTTCAAGGTCGGACTGGGTCAACACTAACTTAAGCTAACTATCTGCCGTAGCTGGAAGAAGCTTTTTCTGTAGACCAGAGTTAATTAATTAATTAAACTTAAAGTCAGAGTTTTAAACCATCCCAAGATTTGTAACAGACTGTTTAAGATATGGCTCAAGAGAGTCAAGGTTTACAGGAACAGACAGCAGTGGAGCTAGGACTAGACACAATAACTTCAGTTTTCTGATTGTTGAAACTTAAAAAAATTGAAGACATCTATGCCTCAATTTCATCGAGACATTTTAACAGAGGGTGGATTGTGCATGAGCTATTGGATTTTAAGTGCAGAAAAATCTGACAATTATCAGCATAACAATGAAATGAACGGCCGTGTTTCCTCAGGATAGACCCCAAAGGGAGCAGATACAGTGAAAACAGAAGGGTTCCAAGAATCGAGCCCTGTGGAATCCCGCAGGAAAGATGGACCGAAGCAGATAAAATATTACCAACATTAACACAAAAGCTCCTGTCACTCAGCTAAGAATGGAACCATTCTAATGCTGGATAATGTTTGGCTTAAGAAGTCGCAAAGTGTTACCTGCAAGCAACTGAAGACGGCAAACAGGTAGTGGAAAAGGATGACATCACTGTTGACCGCCAATAAACCGAGCATCCAGGTGGCGCCGATGAGCAGCAGGAGAAAGAAGGCCATACGTAGCGCTGGGCTGAGATAAGAAAAATTCAAATGTTGGAGTTAACTGAGGCGTTTAAACCTGAGCTCTGGCTAAAACCTCGACTGAGAAACTTACACAGCTCCTGACTTCTCCACAGCTTTCTGCCTGTGGCCACAGGAAGCCTTCGCAGCTAAAATGAAGATCACTATGTTCACCTAAGAAAAAGACAAAGGTCAGTTACTTCTTTTTTAGTGCACTTAGTTATATTAATTTATTGTGCGACTCCTATTTTTATTTTCTTTATATTCTTTGCAATCCAACAACTTCTGCATACTTGGTACCGTTTTAGCTGTTCATAAATCAAAACATTCGGCTCATTCAGGACGTCACTTCTGGTGTTATAACTAACATTTAACGTTTTTTTTAATACATTTTCTTCGCTTATTCAGTTTTCTGCTACTTTTAGCTTTGCTAGTTTAAGCTTTTAACTAGTCTTGACACTTTCAGCTAGCCTTTGGCTACTTTTAACTTGGAGAAATCATTCTGCTTTTTTAGTTTTTGGCTAGCGTTTTGCTAGTTTTGGCTCTCAACTTACTATTATAGATTTTAGCCAATATTCTTTACTTTTAACTTTTTATTAGCATTTTGCTTCTTTTAACAATTTTTTTCTGCTTTTACATTTAGCTGGCCTTTTGCTTCTTTTAGTTTTAGCAACTTAGTTTCAGCTTTGTCCGTCATTTTAAGCACTTTAATGCATTTCCACTGCATTTTCTCGCAGAAAATGGTATTATGATATTTTCTGTTGTTGATTTCTGGAGATACTTTAAGTTAAACAAACATGTAGCTATCATAATTGCAGAAACACCGTGTTGTCTGTGGTGTATTTTTATTTTTTAGTTCAGAAAGTCCCTCATCTGTTATATAGATTTACAGGTTGTACTGCAGCCAGCCACTAGGGGGTGGCTATTTTGTTTTGGCTTCAACTTCCGGGTTTCATTCCAATGTCTTGAGTGTATAATCAGTCTTTGCTCAGACAAAAATATTTATTTTACAGCCCTGAAAGTTTTGTATTTGTATATAGAGCTCAAACAATTTATCGAGTAACTCAAAGATGCTCCGTTTCATTCGTGTGAGTGTGTACTGCTGATTGGTCACCACAAATTTTATAGTTTTTAACAGTGTGCTTAGAAAGAGAAGCAAAATAAAGACGAGGAAACATGGAAAAAAGACCAAAATAGACAAAAGTTTGGAATATATCAAAACAGAAGTGAATATACTCTAAAGTAAAACAACGTTTTTTTAAAAAGATCAAATGGAAATAATAATATTAGGTTAATTAAATAAAGATGATAAACCACTAAAAGCATGAATAACTAGTCTCTTGATTATCCAAAGGATTATTTACAAGTATTCGATAGCTAAACCTGTAAGTAAGCTAAAATAAAAACATTCTTTAAATTTGTACATTAAATTACAATTCTGTGTATATCCGTTTTGCAAACCATAAAATGCAAATAAAAATGTAGTTATTATTTTCTTTAAAGTAAGTAAAGTATTTTAAAAGTGGAAGAATGATCTGCGTTAGACAAAATGAACGATTATTCGCTTTTTTAAATTCTCTAAATTAGGAAGTAAAACAATGAAGAGACGGGACTGATTCAGGCACATACCAGGACGACTACAAAGATGGGTCCTGCGAAGCTCCAGATGAGGGTGTCGTGGACAGAAAGCCAGCAGAAATCTGGGTTTCCATAACCCTGAGGGTCGAGGCCGACTGCCAGACCTACAGACACAAAAATTATGATAAATATGAGGATTTCATAGATATTTCCTTTCCTAGGCTCTGTTTTTACAGTTTAGTCACTGCGTTTTGGTCAGCTGGTGTTGTGCAACATTTTGCTACCTCTGAATTTCTGACCCACTACTACACTCTGAACCAACCCCAAACTAAATGAGCCATCTTGGCATCATTCAGTTTATAATTCATGTCCATCTTTCTGTTATTGCCAGAAACGACAGGCCAAAAGTTGCCAAATAAGCAAACACATCAGATGAAACACAATTAATTTGTGATGGTGTAACAGAACACCCAACTTTACTCCTTTGCTACATGATTGATGCTACCGATTGTCTCATTTTGACAGATCATGAACAGACAGCCGTCTTGTTCAATAGTTTTCCCACGAGGATCTCAAGAAAACAGACGAGTCGCAGCTTGAACGTCCCTGACAAGTCTCCTGTAAGTTTGAGTCAGACCGTGCGCGTTCCTCACCGGTGATGACGGCCGGTATTCCCCAGCCGATGGCGTAGTAGAACCTCATGTGGCCGTGGTTGATGTTGCGCGCCTCCGTCAGCATGCGGTAGATGTGCAGCCCCTCCACGAACATCCAGGCGAAGGTGCACATGTAGAAGTAATGGAGGAGGATGGCTATCACTGTACACACAAACTGCAGGGAGGAAAAAGAAACTTTAGGTGAGACCAATTGTTTATTAGGCCAATTTTTTAATTTTCGTAAATCTCTGATCTGCTAATTTTCATCTGAAGTCCCTCAGACACACAAACTAACAAAACACAATACAAAACATATATACAAGTCTGATAATAAACAGAAATTTATACACTAAAGTAAAATCTATAAGCCCTGTATCCCCACTCAGAACACATACTTAAGGCCCAAAATGTGACTTTTTTTGTTTGTTTAACAGATTGAATCATTTCATTTTAATATTTGAATTAATATTTATGCATCTAAATTTATATATATATTTGTGCAAAACACGTGTCTAATACTGACAATATTTATTTATTTGGGAGCTTATTTGTTAATGCTTAAAAAGAGAAAACAGATTGTCTCAGAGCATCTTTTGGGTGTGGGACACCGTCCACTGCGTTTTGTCCATGCTGTCCAGTACAGGGATGCACGATATTATCGGCACGGTATCGAACGATATTATCGATAAAGTTAAATATCGGACATTTGCCATTCCATCAAAATAACTCACTGATATAAAAAGCGCTGTTTATATATATATACAGTATATATATAGAGGCCTGTCGGGATAAACAATAAATCAATCGCATTATAAATTTAAATTATTGATCTCATTTTCATTTATCGGCTGTATCGTTTCTTCGTGTCTCTCTCTTTCTACTGAAGACACTGGATGACAAAAGGCTCAACTCCGGTGTTCTTCACTGACCCCTCAATTTTATTTTTCTCATTAAAATCCATTTTAACGATCCAAAATCAGGTTTTTGGATCGTTAAAAGCAGCTAAGCTGCGAGCTAAGCTAACAGACCAACCTCGGGGAAAAAAACTCCATCTTGTCAAAGCTCCAAAGTTCACAGTTGAAACCTGTGCCTTCATGTAAAAAGTTGTTTTTCTCTGCAAAAATAAGTTTAAAACTTGTTTACTGATTTTTTTATTAAAAGATTTGTGTGAAAAATGCTATGATAAAGAGCTCAAACCACACCGAATGTCTGCCATTTTGAGAACCGAAGAGAGACAGCCCATGTCACGTCAAGGGGCCTCCCTCCCATTTTTCTTAAAGAGACACACTGCTCACTCCCTCACTATCCATCCTTCGGTTCATACAGTCTTATACTGCCATCCGGTAGTCAAAAAAGGTACTACATGCAAAACAAATTAACCAAAATTTCCTCTTAATTTGACTATAATTACTAATTATTGTCAAATTTTAAACAATATTATTGTTTATCACAATAATTTCTGAGACAATTAATCACCTAGAAAAATTTGTTATTGTGACAGGCCTATA